TGCATTCAATGTTTATTGATAATATAGTAAATTACAAATTTGGTTTTGATATTACTAATTTTTTAGAGCCGTACTTCTAAAATACCTTTTGAAAGAATCAGAATTAATAAGTGAGGGATTTCAAAAGGGTTATATTTTTACTCTATTTTTCTGTTTTTGGTAGATATTCTTAGAGATTTATTAATGATTTTGTTTTCTTGACAAGGTATGCATTTAATTCTCCCTTTAATGTTTTTAAGGAAATTAGGTGGATGGTCCTTGTGGTTATGGTAATATATGTGCTTGGTTCCTAACTATTTTTCTCAACTTGGAAGGTTTCTAAATTTAGATTTCTTTTGATTTTATTGTCATATCGACTTAAATTGACTATATTACCCTTAATGATATATTTTCATTTTTTTAATTATTTACATCGTTATTAAACAAAAATTATATTTAGATCTTTGGATACAACTATTTATGCATAGTGAATTTCGTATTCCCCAATTTTTTGATAAAAACGGGGAGACTCCATTCTCCGGTCTTCAAAATGTCAGCAAAAAAAATGTGGAATTTGAATTTTGAAATTCCATAATTGGTGGCCCTTCCCTAGATAACTAACATCTAATCAACAAGATTTAGTTTTGAAACCCCAGGTCCTCTTTTGTTGCTCACATCCGTTCCTGCTCTGCCAGAACTACCATAACCATTGACAATCAACGACCTCTCATTTCCCTCATTCTATCTTTTTGGTTCACCTTTACCATAATCTTCACTAACAAGGCATAATCGTATTATCCATATAATCCTAAATTGTGGTTCTCACCACCTTCAACTATTCTCTGCCGCCTCTCTAACTTGAAACCGCCTAGATCTAAACATGAAACTCGCACGCCATACTTGCCATCTGGATCACCACTATCCATTGTTATCATTGTTGCCGAAGTATCGAACCATCATTACTCTTCCTCACTCACATACACATCATGCTGATCGCATATGAGACTGAGTCTGGTCTTGGTCATCATTTCAATATTGCAATATGTATAAGAATTAATTGCACCTGAACCGAATTACCTAAAAATCAAATACCTCGACTTTTATTGATAATTGTTTAATAGTAGTAAACTATATGTGTAAAAGACTTAATCGACTTTAAAAACTAATTTCCGAAAAAAACTATTCACACTTGTCGCTTAGCGTGGGTAAACGACTATTTTGTGTGTGTGTGTGTGTGTGTATATATATATATATATATATATATATATATTTTTTTTTTTTAAAATAGAATTTTCTTCTAATTTTAAAACAACTTTCACATTTATGTATTTTTTTTATATGGTCAATTTATTAGGATTACAGGTAATCTTTCGCAAACTGACAATTATATTTTTCGAAAATATACATATTTTAAAAAAACTCATATTTTACAAGCGTTTGCTTATTTTATCACAAATGGTTTGAAGTCTTCTATTTGGAGAGGGAGTTGATATATCCACTTGTGTATTTATTCCTTCCACTTAAAATTAAAATGTTACTGACAATTTTGCCCTTGTATAAAACTTAGAGAGTTTAATGGATTATATGGAAGTGCCGCCTTTTATTCCTTTAACGCATTCAAGCGTTTCTTATCTTTTCCCCTATTTACCAAAAAAATGTGAGTTTTTTTATTTTTTTTTATTTTTTATTTATTTATTTATTTATTTTTTTATAAATGTATAAAATCTACCAAAAAATAATTCATTTTCTTATTTATCCATCAAATCTACTAACCGATGCATAATATGTAACAAAATGTTCATGTTAAGAAAAAGTTTAACTTTTAATAACTTTTGGTCTTTTAACATTATTGTGATTTAAATATTTTTGTTGGTATATTTATTATGATTTAACATATATTAGTTTGAATATTATTGTGGCATACATTAGTTTGAAACATATTATTTCTTGTTACATCTTATTGTGATATGCATCAATTTGTACGTTTCATAGATAAATCAAAAAACAAATAATTTTTTTGTTAGATTTTATATTAATTGATAAATAGGAAAAAGGGAAAATAGTTTCTCACAATTTAAACGGATTGATGGATGAGACACTTTGATTATAAATAAGTAAACAAATTAATTTTTGTAAACGATAAATAAGGGGGGAAACATTTAAATTCATAGTTTTAAACAAGGGTAAAAATGTCAAAACAATTTTAATTTAAGTGGAAGAATCAACTTAAAAAGTCGAAATATATGTCCCATTTGGAGACTCAAGGTTCCATATCCGCTATTTGGTTTTTTAAATAAAAGTTTTTTTTTTTTGTTGTTTTTTTTTTTTTTTTTTTTGCTAATTTGAAAATTAATAACCATGTAAAGTCTAAGGAATTTGTTGACTCTAGTATTATTGATGGAAAAAATTGAGTTTCAAAGAAATCTAATGAATTTGTCATCGGTTAAAATCACATAAAAATGTGAAATTAACTTTTGAAGCAGATATTGGTCCGTTTGAACTGAAACCAATTTAAGATGTCATATTAGCCTACACAATTCTTTTCACCCATAACAAATTTTAAGCATAACGATAATAATAACCATCATTTAAACATGACACTCGACGTCAATGTAAACTTACTATTATGTACAACTGGTATATTCCAAGTATCAAGTACTAGGTTTTGTATAAATATTTAATTTGAATATGATTACTAATTACCTAAACCATTGAAATGACCAAAAATTGAATGTAATATTATAGAATAATCATCTTCGCAAGTTTTATCACTAATGGCCTCTGGTTTCAATATTATGGTCTTACGAAATAACTCATTCGTGGGACTACTTTTTTAAAAAGAATGCGAGTTCACGAACTTGGATTGTGCAATTCACAAAATGAGTTAATAATGGTCCCCATTGTATATATAACCTAAGTTTGGGTTGACTTTGACACTATGCGTGAAAACTTTGTTTTAAACCAACGTTTAAAAAAAATGCATAAATTACAAACCGTCATTGGAAGTTTGTTTTTGATGTAACAAATTTGACACCGAAGATACTATAAAGTAAATCGTAAGCTCTTCTTTTAGGTTTTGTATAAAACAGAAAAATAAACAAATAGATGCAATTGGTTAGTCATGGTCAGCCTACTCGATGAAACCACAGCCGTGTTGGTCTTAATGAAAATACCCACAAATTTCTTTGTATGTATTTCGTATTTTACTTTGTTTTTCATCATGCGTTTAAAAGATCTTGAGTCAAATTGAATATTTATATTTCTTCACTGATAAAATTAACCTACCAATCATTTTCAATACTTTTCATAATAAATTTAAATTTAATGATAATAATATCATATTCGTTTTCAATTAAAACAAAATATATGATCAATATATAATTAGTGGGCCGAATAAATGTAGGCCGAAGGAGGGTTACTCTTGGTACTTACTAAGAAAACTTATTGGGCTACATCCAAATTTTAATCTGCGTATAAAAACTTTAATTTATTAGTTTAACATAAAAAATAGTACATTACACGTGTAAGAGACACAATTAATGTTAATTTAAGTTTCAAAGAATATATTATCGGAATTAACATAGAATATACCACGAGACAATGTTGTATCATATATTACTTTTACTAACATGTGTTCCAGGTAAACAAGAGAAATGTTTGGAAGTAGTTCTTTATATGAGATGTATCTTTTATAAAGACAGATGAACCGGAGATTAGCAAAAGTGAAGCACTAGTTTGAGTGTATATTTTAGTAGGGTTGGTTGAAAAGACATTATATTTTTCCATTTAGACAATTTGATTGTATAAATGACTATGGCTTGTGAGTTTTGTAACACCCATGTTCACAATATTATTGAATAATAAATTGCAAAAAGTTGGACCGTATTTTCCGTTGGACAAAGACATCATTGAAATGATGTCATGTTGTTGCTAATTCCCGATGATTAAACTACGGCGTTACAGATTACTTAATTCTCACATCAAATGGGCGAAGTAAAACCATACAAAAGTTGGTTGGATTTAGAACAAAATCAATGACCTATCATAGTAGAAATATCATCGAATGTGGGAATGTGGTGAGGCTCCAATGTATGGCCCATGCAATCCGTCTGCAAACACTATTGAAATAAAAAAATGAAAACGAATATAACCATATAGAAAGATGGTATAAACAAGAATAACTATGAGAATTTAGTCATCTAGATTTGAACTTATAATGCTAAATTTTAATATTTCACAAAGAAAAAAAAAACATATCAGTACCTCTTTGCAACCCCCTAAATAATAAGATCGAGTGTAACTAATACACGTTTGTGAGACCAAATTTTAAAAACCAATAATCATTTTTGTGATAAAATCTACCAGAGCAGTTATTTTGTGATATTTTGCATTTTTATTTTGGGTTTTTAGTGAATAGTCCATATTGTTATTAAAGCTATATAGTATATATTATACTAAACAATATTTTAAAGCATGTTGGTGGATGTTGGCATACATGAATCTGGATCGTACAATGAACATGCAAACACCAGTCTTATAAAGTTAAATTAATTGAAAATAAAGGAGTTGCTACGACAATAAGAACGCGTTTTCCATTAAACTATCACATGAAAAGAGAAAATAAAATGAGCAATTGCTAATCTATAAGTAGCTTTGCTTATAACTAAATATATATAAACTATAAAGTAATCTTATTGTATTAATGAATTTTCAAATATTTAATGTTTCTGATACGATGTAAGAGTCCCTTAGATTAGTTACCTGTAGCTAGAGGTAAAAAAATAGGTGAAAGCAAGTGATTCAAAGAAAATTTAGATTCTAGCACAACAAAGTTTGGTCATTTTACCGACTAAATCAAATCCTTTTTTTTTTGTGCAGTTAGTCCTTAAAGTAAGGAATTACCTTCTAATTAAGGGAATGAGGGAAATTGTCTCCGGTTTACGAGTTACATGTTGTCTTGTCTTGACCTACGTGGACACGAATAAACCATGTCATCATACACAGTGGCTTATCTATCTTAAATGGAACCCTTAATCGAACAAAATGCAATAAGTTCTTACCCCAAATTAGGCCAATGTCGCCCTCCCGAAACCCTCTTCTTGATCGTTAAAACCCAAGCGATGTCTTTCTTGTCTACTCGATCCAGCAACATCCTTCGTCTTGGACACCATGGTCATGATGAACAATGTCCCCCATGTAAGTGTAAAAATGGTATCAACGTCGAAAGAATCGCTTGGACCGACGATAACCCAACTTGCAAGTTTTGGAACTGCAAAAACTCAGTTGTGAGTATTCCTTCTTCGTAATCCCAACCTATTTGGTATCTTTAACTAAAAATTTCACATATTTGTTTTATTCATAACCATGACTGTATACTACATTTTTTGTTAGTCAAGTGATGGTCCAAGCTGTAAATTTTTCAAGTGGAAAGACGAGGAAATGGAGGAGGAGTATTACAAAGACCATCTTTGTAAGATGAGGTATGAGGTATGCAAAAAGGAAGATTGCAATAAGGTTGTGAAAGCATAGAAGAAAGTGGTTCAACTGGAGCAAGCTAAGGGTGAACTGCAGGAGTTGATGGAAGTTGAGAAGGATGGTTTCGAGATAGAGTTGATGGAGCTGAATAAGAAGAATCCAATCATGAAGACTTACCTGAGATATGCTAAGTGTTTGATCCTTGTGTTGTTCATTGCAATCATTAGGATGTGGTTGAAGTCTGACTTTGGCGGTTAATACGGTATTTTTAATGGTTGAAGATATATAATTCTTACTCTTTTAGATAATGTATGGGTACATGATCAAGGTAAGTTTATGTATAGTCATTTGGATGTTTACATGATTACATTAGAAAGTATTTTGGCTTATGGATGTTTACATGATCACGAAAGGTTTATGTAAGGTTGTTTGGTAATGGTGTACCCAAGCAGGTAATTTGAGGGAACCCAAAACCAGCCCGGTACTTACATGGTCGGGTATGAAGAAACTACAGCATGTGACGAACGAATCTAAGTTCAAATAACCATACAAGAATCTCATAACTATATCCCTAGGAAACATGAAAAAGAGAGGATACAAAGCAATAAAAAAATAAAAGGATGAAAGGCGTAACGACTTACAAATCGGATAATAGATGAAGAACCGAACAAAACTGTAAACCCATGGAACCACGAGTAGCCTATAAATACCCCAGAGACACCATAACCAGGTATGTGTAAAAGAGAAGAAAGAAACATTATACACAACACCATGACACTTTTATATTCGCAATCTAATTTGGGCATCAGAGAGCAATATCGGGGTTCAACCCTCGGTATGGCTATCAGACCTAGTGTTTGTCCATCTTAAGCAAAGCGGATTCTCGGATCTTTATTAGACAAAGATCCTTCTGTGGTAGAGCTAAAACATGCACCTGGAACTCGCCATAACAACATTTAAGTAGATAAACCAAGGTACATGAATGTTTTGGTAGATATACGTGTTCTTAGTGTGACATCCCCAAAATCACAGCTAGAAAACACCGGTTTTGTTTATACTTTATTTCAAAATCAGAGTAACCTTTTAATAAAAGAGTTGCGGAATTTGTCCCAAAACAATAATATGATAAAGAGTCATCAAAAGCATTTCCTTAGAAATGTATTTCATTAAAATACTCGGGATGTCATGTTCGATACAATACATAAGTATAAACAATACAATATAAGCCTTACTACATTATTTCATATCTACAAGACTATATCCGTAATCTCTCATACCAACACATCACAACTATGCTCGAGCGCAACTATCTGTAATACATAAAACTGAGTGGGTCGGGCTTGGGAGCCTGGTGAGCACATAGGGTTTTCAACCCACAATAAATAAGTTTATTAATTTCATCGACCAGCAATAACCCGCTTACCCATTCCCGTTATCCTCATATTACGTCCCTAACCACCTATCATAAGGGACCTATCCTAAGGATCATCATCGGGATGTACACTACTGCTAAGAGGGTTCCTCAGCAATAAATGTCCTAAAGGCAACCATGAGGGGGATGGAGTACACCGGTGAACACATCGTTCACAAACACCTACAGGTTGCGAGCCTGCCATCGTTTTTGTAGATATAAAATACATATACACTTTAAATCATTTAAAAATTGTATACAAACATTCATCCAACATAGATAACAAGTATGCAGATAATATGCACACATAGCACGTAATATATAAAATACTTCATATCTATATGTAAGATGAAAGTAACTATGCACTCACTTGAAAATGTGGTGATTCGGTACTCAGACAACCCTTCGTTTACTTTAAAATAATTTCCTTCGACGAAACATAGTATTATTACCACTAGATTTTAGTCTAATATTTACCGTGACTAACTATTAGTCTTATTGTTATTATTATTACATAAGCATTTAAACAATACTTTCCAACCACTGTGTACAGACAGGGGCCAGACATAAAACACCGGAGGGCATGACCATTTTGGCGTATAGCACTTCTGAAATCCAACAACCCTATGCGGCCCTTTAAACCAGATTCCCCGTACCGCGAGTAGTTAAAAAGATATTATAACGACACTTATATAAGTCATAATAATAGCTCAAATATTTATTATAAGTTCATAATAACAATAATAGTTTTAAATATAAACTATATTAAAATAGGGTAAGCATAACTTATTTACAAGGGGATTTTAGCTATGAGTCGGGTTCCGCAGGGGCAGAACTTCGTCGCTGAATCTTTCTAAGAAATTCTCGTGCAACGCTTCAGCGCTCACCTTACTATACTAAAAACTATAGAAAGAGAAGTCGAATCACGAGGGACCGAAATTCTCCGGGGGATAAGGAGAGAAAGACTCTTGAATCAAGAGAATGGTGCAACAAATATGAGAGCCCAATGCTCTTATTTATACTAATTTAATTTTCAAAAACTACCATCTATAATTACTTAATGACCTTTTAGTTATATAAACAACTAAACACCCCTCTATAATAATATTTTAAATGGATTTAATGATATTTGTACTAAACTAATGTCGAAAGAACTCAACATTAGTCTCATAATGACCGCATCATCTATACCTTTCTAATGATATATACATATGTATATATATGTGTACATATATATGATTTATACTTTATTTTATTACGTAAATATGCTATTATAATTTGTAACTCGTTCATACGAACTCCGTTTTTGACGTTCTTTATATCCACACGTAGGTGGAGATGTACTCTACAACTTTCGTTTAGACTCCGTCGGCTAATTTTGACTTTATTTTTAAAGTTATATTTTTAACCGGCCGGGACATGATTGGTCCGTTAAAATCTCATAACTTCTTCATACGAAGTCAAATTTGGACGTTCTTTTTATGGAAACTCTCAGTTTAACATATTCTACGACTTTCGTTCAGATTTCTAAGGCTAAAAGTCGCTCTATCATCAGTTCGCTATTTACGCTTCCCGGTGTCGCGCCGGTTCCGTCGTGAAACTTCGACGGGTCGTAACTTCTTCGTTATAACTCGGATTTCGGTGTTCTTTATATCCCCATAATCCTTTTTTCGACCACTACGACTTTATGTAGAGATATCGGGCTTATCTCATACTTTAATTTTGATGCTTATTTTTATTCTTTATTAATTATACATTTATAATTAAATAATAAGCACATAAATACACATAATTCACATAATACTCAGATATTTCATCTTTATTACTTCAAAAAGAGTAACAATAGTTGACCTAGACTATTACATTGTCAAAACTGCTTAGCCCCAAAACCCGGGCGTTACAATTCACTCCCCCTTAGGATGATTCCGTCCCAGAATCATGCATCAACAAACATATGTGGATAGCGACTCATCATGTCATCCTCTGCTTCCCAAGTGAGATTCGGCCCATTCGAATGTTTCCATCGGACTAGCACTAAGTCGACCATCTTGCGTGGTAACTTCTTAGTCTTACGGTCAACAATTGCCTCAGGCTCTTCGATCAGCCTCTTATTCTCATCCATCTTTGATTTTGAGATTGGAATTATGTTGGGAATTTCTCCCGTGAATTTTCTCAGATAACACACGTGGAAGGTGTTATGAATATCATCGAATTCTTCGGGCAATTCCAGCTTGTAAGCTTGGTTCCTAGTCTTCTGAAGAACTTTGAATGGTCCAATAAACCTGGGACTCAACTTCCCTCGTTTCCCGAACCTTATAAGTCCCTTCCACGGTGAGACTTTAAGAAAAACCGAATCCCCAACTTCGAAGGTCATCGGTCGCCTTTTCTTATCAGCTTAGTTCATTTGACGATCCTGAGCTACTAACATTCTTTCTCTGACCACCTTTAACTTTTCAACAGTCTCATGGACTATCTCGGGGCCCATAAACTACTTTTCTCAAACTTCAAGCCAACAAGATGGAGTACGACACTTCTGTCCATACAATGCTTGATAGGGGGCCATCTTGATGCTCAAGTGGAAACTGTTGTTGTAGGAAAATTCTACCAAAGGTAAGTGCTCATCCCAGCTACCTTGGAAATCAAAGGTACACGCTCTCAACATATCCTCAAGTGTTTGAATCATTCTCTCGCTCTGATCATCAGTCTGCGGATGGTAAGCTGTATTCAAACACAATTTTGTACCTAATTCCTCCTGTAGACTTCTCCAGAACCTTGACATGAAACGAATGTCACGATCTGACACAATTGTTAGAGTAATACCGTGAAGTCTTAAAATTTCCTTCACGTAAGCATTTGCGAGCTTATCCATAAACTACTTCTCGTTGGCTGCTATGAAGTGTGCACTCTTGGTGAAACGATCCACGACCACCCAAATCATGTCGTGACCGTTCTTCGTCCTGGGTAGTTTAGTCACAAAATCCATCGTGATTCTTCCCATTTACCCATGGGTACAGGTAAAGGTTCTAAACTCCCATACAGTTTCTGATTATGTGCCTTGGCTCTCACACAAGTAACACACTCGTCCACATACTTCGCAACATCAGGTTTCATCGTCGGCCACCAGTAGTAGGGTTTTAGTTCCCTATACATTTTAGTGCTACCGGGATGAATCGAGTACATGGTTTTGTGTGCTTCTTCCATTAGAATATTTCTTATTGCTCCCGTCTTTGGTACCCAAATTCGATCTTGGAATACCTTCAACCCTTGGTTGTTTGTACCGAACTCCAACGTTTTCCCCAAACGTTCCTCCTTTCGGTCATTCTTCTCAGAAGCTTCCTCTTGAGCTTTCTTTATACTTTCCACAATGGTCGAGACAACTTCAATTCTCAATGCTCTTGGCCTTTTCCTTTCAAGATTAACTTTCCGACTGAGAGCATCAGCAACAACATTTACCAGGGTGGTAAAGTATCTCACATTCGTAGTCCTTGAGTAACTCCATCCAGCGTCGTTGTCTCATGATTAACTCCTTTTGATTAAATAGATACTAGAGACTCTTATGATAAGTGAACAGCTTGCACTTCGTGCTGTAGAGGTAATGTCTCTATATCTTTAGAGCAAATACTACCGCCGCCAACTCCAAATTATGAGTGGGGTAGTTCTTTTCGTGCTCTTTCAATTGTCGAGATGCGTATGCTATCACATTTTCTCTTTGCGCCAGAACAAAACCCAACCCGACTCCAGATGCATCACTATAGACCGCGAAGTCTTCAACTCCATTAGGTAGAGAAAGTATTGGTGCTTCACATGGCTTATTCTTCAGCTTCTCGAACGCTTCTTCAAGCTTCTC